AAAAAATCATTTCGCGTTACCATTAAAGAATACTCTGACCGTTTAAGAGATAGTTTAGCTAATTAAAGCGAGGAATGGTTTTTCAGATGGTTTCAAAAAATCAATGGAAAAACATAATATTTTGAATTCCTTTATTAATTAATTGTTTAAAACCTATCTTGATATGAAATTTGGTGTAATTGATACAATACAATGGTATAAACGAAGTGTTGAAGACGTTCAATTCGAAATTTTATTAATGTCAAATTTGACTGGTGTAACAAACAACATTCACCTATATCTATATACGTGTTACCATAATCTTTAAAATATAAAGCATGGATTTACAAACATGGTACACGTGATAAGTTGGAAATGGTCAAAAGCTCGTTACAACAGAATAGCTTTACAGTTGTGGCATGCAAAAATGTACAAAAGTCGTATTAATTTCCAATGTCACATTGGTGAAACTACCAACTTCCAAAAATCCCTCTTATATCCATTTTAACTTCCTATTTATGCGGCACAGTCTTTTTATGGGTCAATCTAAACAGTTTCAGAAGACAATACAATGAATGTATTAATGTTATTGATTACGAAAAGCAAAATACCAATCATCTATCATCTTGGTAAGAATCTTGTAATTACCCAGCGAGATCTGCTCCGCATTTTGATTCCAATTAAAATATTTATAAACTAAAACAAAAATATCAATGCAAACAAAAAATAGAACCTCTGGTTAGTTATTAACACCTTGTCTTCTTTAGTAGAGTCAAACCATACCAAGCAACAAAACTCACATTTTGTCACCTTGGACTCTGTCAAAAAATAAATTGTTTTTCCAAAAAAAAAAAAAAAACCCCCAATAGGATAAATAATTAATGCATACGCATCGATCGATTAATTTTAAAAATGTCACAATCACTATTATCGTAAAAAAGAAAAAACGAAGAGGAGCGCGTCGAAGCTATAGAAGTCTGCCTAAACTACTAAATTTAGGCAATAGTTTCGGCAAATTAAAAATTTTAGTTTCGGTTTTCAAGCAAGCAAAATGCCGAAATTTTAGGCATAATTATTTTTGCCAACTAAACCTACGTGCGAAACTATAAAATGTGTAAGCCTTTTGTGTAACTAATGATTCGTAAAGCATATAATGATAATATTACTTTACCAATAATTAATGTCAGTATT